TTTGAATCCCTACAAAATTGCCTTCATGCTGAACAGGTGCTACAGGTTGTGCCATTGACTTTTATTCCTGGTAGACAGCTGTACCTTTATGTCACACTGTCATGGCCATTTTCTACAGATCAGTCCCCAGTGGTATGCATGTATTCAATAGCAGGTTACAATCTACCCTCGTTATAGCAGGTAGGTTAAAGTCCCTTGAGGTATATTACTGGAAACAGCCTGCACTGGAGGAATGATCACTGAGCCCRATCCTCTGGCACCAAAATAGGCATTTGCACTGATTTTAGTGTGAATCAGAAGTTCCAACAGCTTCAGATAGAAACCACAAAGACAAGATACCAACAGCCCTTTTCACACAGGCAGTCAATTCTTCTGATGTGTAACAAAGCAGAAGAATTATGGATGGTGTAAAAGGAGAGGAGACAGGGCAGGATCAAARTGGTTTCCTGTAGAGTATCTCCAGGAACATCACTAAAAATCAAATTCCTTGTAGATGAATGAGGAACAGGATTCAACCTCAATTTCTGCCTCCATGCACTGAAATGTGTGAGGATCAGTGCAGTTAGTGGAGATTAACTGCTAGAGACAGAGCGAGAAAGGACTGGAAGGTTTTTTTTGCTTGACCTCAGCTGCCTACTCAGGGTAATTGAATGCCCTTTGGAGGGTATCTGAGTGCATTTTTCACCAACTGTGCCTGACCAGTGTGGGTTGAGAAACTCAGTGTGTATTTGTGTCTTCTGAGCCCATGTGCTTGTTTCTTTGTCTGGGTCCTTAGAGTAAAAATCAAAACTAGGCCCAGCTGTTCCTTATAATTAAATTTCAGTAACTCAAGCTGGGTGATTTTATTTTGACTAGTGACTTAAAAGTGATGGCATTTAAATGGCCTTAGCTATATTTCAAAGTTAACACTGAGAAACTTCACACAGACATTAGTGTTATTTGTCTGTTGGCAAACTCAACAAAATACCACTGCGTTGATTTACATAGTGAAGGTTATCTCTGCTAACAGAAGGACTCAGAATTTCATTATTTAAAATATGAGGATGAATCTCACCACAGTGCAGGAGGCTAAAGATGCCATTACACACAACTTGGCAGCTGAGTCAAGAGCAGAGGTGAAGTTTACATTGTGCACTGAGCCCCATGTTCAAATATACCTAAAAGATCCAAAAGTCAAAACCCACACAATAATATCTGTGGCCAGGTCAGATCCAACTGAATGATGAGGGCTTTTCCTTTCTGCACTTACGTTTGTTTCTGTGTGTCTGTCTTCTCTCTCTAATTTATTTATAAGATATTTACGCCATACATGGGCAGTCTGTGAAGCAAYAAACCAATAATAGGCTCAGTTTTCATTGCAGTTTCTATATTTGGGTATTTTAGTACATCAGAATCTGGATATAAGAAGTATTAACAGTCTTATGCCAGCAGAAAGAAATTAATTTTATGCCTGCCTCTGCACAGAAGCCAAAAGCTTCAGGAAATAAGATCTCTTCTCATAAGCATCTTTTCTGATCCAGTTAGGAGAAGAGAAAATAAACAATGAAATGCAAGCTTCTGGGCAACAGCACAGCAGTGAGCTATGATGGCTCATGTGATATACAAATGATTCACAATACGTGTCTGACTGGCACTCTAACTCCAGTACCTATTGATGGTCCAGATAGAATCTGGTGCTTCCATCAAGCCCTGGCCCTTGGGAGCCCAGTTGTCACAGGGGGCTATGTGCAGCCTGGCAGAGCAGAGAGGAAGAGCAGTGTTTCTGCATGATCACCCCTTGTTGTGACACAAATCCCTGGAAGCAGTATGCACAGCCTAACGAAAGCAGCCGTTCCAGTGCCTGGGTGGGGACATTTTCTGAATTCCTCCCCAGCAGTGACGTTCTGCACCGTGACATGGAGAGCTGTCAGAACGTTGGCTTTACTTTCTTCCTGCAACTGTTCAAAACCCAACKCGGAAGCCCAGGAGAGAATGCTGAATGAACCTGCCCAGGCAGAYCAGGTGGTCCTTATAGGAGTCAGGTGAGGCCACCAAAGCTAGACCTGTCATGTGCTGCTGGGTGAACATTCTGCTGACCACTCGCAGCAGTGATACAGAAATGAGCACAATGGAAGGAAACAAATGAGGGAGGAAAAAATGATCTTGGCAAGACAAAGAGGGAAGCAATGAGCGATGATTACTGATGAATAATAACCCAGAATTAATGGAAAAGGACAACAGCAAAAGCTGTGCACAGAACACAAATATTTTAGAATGAGGATAAACAGTGACATTAGTAGGGTGGCCAGAACTCATCACCCATTCACATAATACTTGTCTACATTACACTAGGGCAGTGGCTAGGGCTAGAACATTGCCCTTGGAGGCGCTGTAATTTTATCAGAAGAGCCTCTGCACAAGAGACAAGCTGTTCCAAAACTGAATGAAGGGCTAGGTTTTCCTCTTGTTATTATTGGTGTTTTAAATTTAAATCCTCAGATACATAGCCCTATTTGGGAAGAATATTGAGCTACAGAGGCTCGAGGGCAGTTGCCAACTTAAGCACAACTAAATTAAGCCAGAAATGTTGAGCAGAAGYAAAAGCAATATCACACTGTATTAGAAGCCAGGATTATGAAATCTCTGCCTATCAAAGAGGTCACAAGAATGCAGACAGCTCTGTATTATTATTTTAATGCAGTAAAGTCTAGAGGCTCCAATTACCAAACTCCAAAAGGAGGTGGTGCCTGCTTGAACACAAGGAGGCACCACTGAATAAAAACATGGAAACAGACCAAACTCTATCCTCATATCCTTTTGGGAAAACAAAAAGGCTCATTGACATTTTATCCTCCTGTCAGTTCAATCAATGTAGGCAAACCTTGACTGCCACACTTTCATTAATCCAAGGCAATCTTCCCCCTACCACATTTCTTGAGAGTCTRACTGAAGATCTGGGACAGATTTTACACAATCTTAAGTACCACCACTGTTTTTTTGATCTCAGGAGACCTGTGGGTTTCAGAACATCTCAGGTTCAAGATCAGGTCACKTTGCCCTGTGCCAAAGCAGGGAGGAAGGGGCTGTCCCTGCAGGACTCTGGCTTTCCCACACGGCTGAGGTGCCCTGCCTCTTCTTCAGTTCAGCGCTTCTCTTCCTCGAGTTTCCTAATCCCTCTGGGCCACAATGATCCTCTTCAGCCTCCTCTTGTGGTCCTTTCTTGATCTGCATCCTCTCAGGTGAGCCAGTCCCTCTTGCTCAAGGATGACCAACAGGGCACAGAGGTTTGTCGCCCTGCCCATAAGCTCGATGTTTCAGGCAGAACATCGCAGTGTCTGTCCCTCTGTGGTGCTGAGCATAGCCCAGGAGGTAAACTGTTTACTTTTCCACCACAGAGGAAACCAACCAGGAGGAAATATCCAAGACAGAAGTGCTGAGAGTTACAGCGAACTTAGGCACGGAGCAGCACGTGGAGATGTGCACAAACATGCTTGCAGACTGAAAACGCTTGTCTCTTTACTGAATTTGTTGAGGTATCGTCGGGAGATTTAATCGGGCTGGAGCACAGACATTGTACCGAGCTTGGAATTATCCTGACCCAGCAAAAAGCAAGCTCGCACTTCCCTTTGTGTGCAAAACTTTCCTGCGGCTGCTGAGAACAAACGCTGGCAGGAGCTGCGGGACCTGGACAAACGTGTGCTCCCGCTGCTCCTTCTGTCCCCGCCTGCCGAGCGCTGGAGGAGCCTGTGGGGCACATCAGGACCGCTCAACCGCGGGCGTGCCTGTCCAAGCACACCAGAAACATAAAGGAAAAAAATAAAAAAATAAAAAAAAAAGGAAAAAAAAGGGTAAGAAAGCCTGAGCCCAGAAGGCTCAGGGGATTACTAGAAGTGTAAAGGAGGCGATGTGATCTGGCGGGCCGCGCATCGCTACGGCAGCGGGGCTCGCCGCGCTGCGCAGCCCCTCGCCCGGCGGTCAGGGCGGGCGCTCCCAGATGCCCGCCCGCTCCGGCTGCGCCCCTGTCCCGCACCGTCTCGGTCACCCCGGCCCTTCCCGCACGCCCAGCTCCGGCACCGAGCGGCACTTGTAACGCCGCCGAGGGATGTGGCGGGGGGCCCTACACCCCAGCCCCGCGGGCTCCCTGGGGAGCTTGGCATCGCCCAGCCCCRCGGCATTGCGGGCACGGTGAAAGATAGGATGGGGACAACGGCAACAGACAACGGCAGGACCGAGAAACACCTTCATCCGCCCGTGCCCTAGCATCCCTCGTCGGGCTGGAAGGGGTGGGGCTGCTCCCCGCCTGGGCGGGGGGCGAGCCCGGRCTCCTCCCGACGCCTGCAGGGGCAGGGGCGGGGGGACGGCGGTGGGGCGGTGCGCGGGGCCAGGGCGGGCCGGATCCCCCCCGTCGGAAGGCTCGTGGGTGCGGGAGGGAGGGCCGAGGGAGGCGGCGGCGGCTCCTCCTCCGCGGGCAGGCGGGGGGCAGCCCGCCCGAGAGCGGCACCGGTTGCTCGGTGCCGGCGGAGCCGCGCCGCCCGCTATATAAGGGGCGGCGGCTGCTCTCCGCTCGCTCACACCGGCCCCTGCCCGCGGCTGGCGGCGCTGGGCGGTGGCCGGGCCCCGACAGCATGGCCCGCGGCGGGGCGCAATGGGAGGTGGTCTCCCCCCCTGCCTTCCGCGGACCCTCCTCTTTCTTCTGCTCCWCCCGCACCCGCGGCGGCGGCTGCAAACTTGCTGCGGCGGGCTGCGAGTGAAGGCACGGC